AATAAATAGCTTAAATCTCATAACATTATAGATTTATATATATATTATCTTTATTATATTGACCTTTCAGCCGTACCTGGCTAACAATACAGAAGTTACAATAACGCAGCTCACGTGCACTCATGTTACCATATCAAATAACATAAAACTGACCTTTTGTCTGTGCAAAGCAACCTGTCTTGGCTGTGTTTTAGTAGATTAGTATTTTGTAAAATACGGTCACATTTCAATTAATCTACATTATATATGTGTATAGATTATTGATATTTTGAAATAAGTTCATAAACACTTTTCCTAAAACATAGAATAGCAACTAAAGAAGTAAAGCAAACAATTATTTCTTCTAGTTACGACCTTTGTATTCGGTCACTGCTTTACGTAGGTTGCTAAGCCTTTAGAAATGTTGCATGTGGAGGAAAGGAAACAAAATATTTTTTTAGGTATTATATATACATTTGAATAACTAAAAGATCATAAATTACTACATTAATACCATAGAATTACACTATAATTTATAAATTTTAGTAACTAAGATGTATTTCAGTCTAAAAAAATATGAAATTTCGAGCAGACTAAAGACACCCTACATTCTTGAAATATTGGTTCAAAAGAAAAAAATGGCATCAAGACCGTTAAAATTGCCGAGAAAGCCACTAGGGGACATTCTGTGCTTCCAATTCATATCATATATAGAAGTAAGCATATATAAGGGAGCATTTCCAAAAATGGAAAGAGATGGGCAGGGTGCCACTGTGTTTAATTAGCATATTGAAAAGACAAGAGGCTTTGATTTTATATATAAAGCTTTGTATAAATATAGCTTGTCAATATCGGTAATTTGAGTTTCTAATTCATTTGAAACTATACACTTAGTATTTTGACTTCACAAACATCTAATTTGAACCAGTGCTGCATTCAACATACGACATGACACACAAAAATCAATGTTTATCTGTGTTTTTTAATATTTGTTTTTAAATTAAGAAATTGAGTAATATATAGTACTAAAATTTGAATTATAATCTACAGTTTGATACTAAACGTATTGACATAAATTCGTGAAATAGTAGTTCAATAAAATTTTGAATGCGAGTCAACAAACAGGATGACATGGCCTTTCACCCGTGACCCGTCTCGAAAGGGTTAAGGTATACTTGGTCAACGTAAGTCTAAATTAATCAAAATTACAAAACAAGAGGTCCAGGAGGAATGCAGGGAGCAAGGATATTAAACAAGATAAGTTTATCTTAGAAACAAAAACATCAACAAAATATATAAAAAATGCATCACTGGAAGAAAAAGGTTTACTTCAGTGTATAAGGCCACTGGACAGCAGCAAAATTTGAGGCACATCTGACCAACATCAAGAAAATTCTGATCAAGACTAACTTTGCTATAAACTATGTTCAATGCTCAGCTCTAATCAGAACTCAGAAGAATGCTATTTTACCCATGTTGTTTGACTAACCCCATTAATGAAAAGAGAAACCATAGTTTCCAGCATCTGTGCCTCTACATATCAACATACAAGACACTACTAAACAAGAGGGAATCTTCAATAGCCGCAGCACTTGAAATTCTTTTATGCAGGATTAGAGTAAATTTATCTACGAGACCTTTTGTTTCCTTTTTATTAGCTATACTTTTATGCACCAGCAATACCAAGCATTGGGTGTTCGTATACCCGATACAATTTTATTACTCATCAGGAGCTCTACCAGCCTACCCTCATATTGAAATTCTTTTAGGCAGGATTAGAGTAAATTAACTTTGGAGACCTTGGGCAAGGTCAAATACATCTATCGAAAGGGTTTGACCTCCTGAGTCCAAAAGTGTAATTAGATCTCAAATTGGTCAAGAGATAACAGAACTATGATAAAAGTTTGTACTTGAAAAAAACAACAACCCAGAGCCATTCTATGAGCCACTAAGCTGCAGCTAAAAAACAATCAACAACTTATCAAGCAAGCCAGAGAAAACCATAATCTGGATTAGTTTTCTTGATCAGATGTTACAGGGCAAATATTAACATAGATCAAGACTGAATACATCCTGTTCATCTAAAAGTTGTAATTAAATACAGAAACCTTTATTGATATTTCCAAAATGTCGAAAAAAAAGATTTATTAATTTAATAAGTTAAGAACTATAATATTTACATATCACATCTTTACTTCCTGAAAGCCTTTGATAAGATATTCACAAAAATTAATTAGTTTATGAGACTAGTGGAAAAAGTTAGAGAGAGAAGAATAGCTTGATGATAAAAAGTAAGAGTAATGATAGATAGGCATCTTTTCTAACTGAGAAAGCATCTATGCGACTTTTCAATACCTCAGGGGTCTGTTTAAGGATTTTTTATTGCTCATTACTTATGTTAATTGTTTGGATAGATTCTTAGACTGTACTATTCCTAATTGTGATTATAATAATATAATACTAGGAAAGGATGGATCTGTTGACAATTCTTCTCTATCCAAAGAGACCTTGGGTATTGATAAATGGGCCAGAACATGAAAATTTTGATGTTGATGAATGTAAAATTATGCTTCAGAATCAGAGTATGAAAATTGGAAAGGTGTTGCATCATGTATGAAAGATGCAATGGTATTGTAGAAAAAGGATTTGAAACTTATTAAAACCCTAAAGCATTTTGCGAAGTGTTTACCTTTGTTAAGAGCATAAACAAGGTTTATTTTTATTTTTTGGAGTTTCAAATATACAACAAGGTTATTTTAACAATGCACAAGATTCTGGTGAGGCCTCACTTAGATTACTCTGGACAATTTCAGTCCCCTTACTACAGAACGATTATCAACTTATTGGAAAGAGTTCTAGGGACTAACTACTAAAACAAATCATTGGGCAGTCATCCTACAAACTGTGAAAATTATTTAAAAGCTAAAACCTAGATGCAGACTTGTCCTTTAAAAAAATTTTTTTGTTCAAGTTATGAGCTTGTGGAATGATTTGCCTGATAATGTGATAAATACATGAAAAATGGTGGAATTTCATCCATCAAGAAAATAACACTTACACAACCATATAAAATACACTAGTTTACCACTGTTATACAGCATAAGGCTGAAATCAAATTTATGAGAATTTTGTGACTGTGTAAAATTATAAATATTATTCCCTAGTGTTAGTACTGCTGAATAAAATGTTTTGTATTTTTCACATCACAATAAAAATAGCATACAGTGTAATAGCATATGATTCCTGACAAACATTCAAAACTCTGGTTTCTTTAAATTTTTGGGCCACCAAACAAGTCTTCAAAAAATGATTTAAGTTACATATGATCACTCATGCTAACAAAAGACAAATGATACACATGTACTTACAAATGGTTACTCTCAACAACAAAATTGTTACTTTTTTCATAACAAATTTTAGTAATTATTCCAAAAAGGGACACTGTTTTTAGTTATCTATAACCACTCCTAAAACTAAAAGTAAAAGCCTTGGGGTACTTTTATAGCATAAACATTATGCACAATACTTTTTGTACTTGCATGTATATCAGTCAGTTATACTGAATAAAGGATATAAATCCAAGAGACCAGGCAATTTTTACATTAGCTTCCCAAGCTGAAGGACACACTTGACTTGGGCTATACTTATGGATGTTTTTAGTATTATTCCATACTCATGCAAATTGCAGTGCAATACTAATAATAATTCTACATTACTAGTAATAGCAATAGCTACATGAATTGTCTATTAAACATACTGTGGGTTATTCAAGATATTGTCATCAGAAAAATCGGTTTAAACCTACATTGACACAGTAGACTTTGAACATTCTTAATCTGAATCGTACTTTGCAAGTTTGTTCCGAGTTGTAACTAGGATTAAAACTTGTGTATATTTAGTACTAAATACACAGGTTTTAATCCAAGCTACAACTCAGAACAAAGTACGATTCAGTTTCAGGTTAAGAATGTTCAAAGTTTACTGTGTCAGTGTAACTTGTAAATTTCTGCACAGTGCAAATCAAAAAATGGAGCATTCGTTCCTGTTTATGAATTACAGATTTAAATTATGCAATTTAAAATTTAGGCCTAGGCTCTTTCTATCGCTGTTGTGGTGATCATGAGGATATATTATAAATTTAACGATTTTCAAATCAAATTATTAACTAAACAGTAAACTTAAATTTAATTATTTAGTCTTATTATACTTTAAGTTTAAATCATTTTAAGGTGAACTTAATTTCAAATTTAACTCAAGCCTACCTCCACACACAAAGATGAGAGTGAAGAAGACCCACTGAAATTGCACCAAAAACATCGTAATCGTCATCTTTGAAAAAAAAAAAAAAAAAAGAGGGATTATCAAACGAACAAGTATTTTCGACAAGTTAGCCCCAAGGTTAAACTAATCACTATCGTCTTCGAGCGATATAAAACCAGCTATTGATGCACTTATCTTAAGACTGACCTCCTATCTCCGTCAATCGATAAACAACGTTTCCTGCGCAACGCTAAAGCAATATGCGCCCTCTTAACCTTGTGAAACATCAATTTATTTAAATTGTAATTATTAGGTACCAAATTTCTGACATTGTTAATTTTCCTTCCATTTATAAATTGTTTATGAGCTCTATGAAATTATTAGATGCCAACTATAAAAATTGGTTACTGGACTGATAAAATATTTCAGAATGGTCTAAAACCTTTTACCATAACAGTCAGCTACTTGATTTTATAACATGTATTTGCATTATAACATAACTTACTGACAAGGGCCATTTTATCCTTGAAGGCTGACTTTCCACCCTTGTGAAAAATGTATGCATATCCTTTACTATTCAAAAAACCATATACTCCCTTCTTAAGTTCAAAAGTATCTGCAAACGTAGATTCTAGAAATATTATGCACAGAATAAAATGAATACAGATAGAAAAGAAAACAATCACATACAAGGAATTTGCCCCCCAGTGGCACAGCGGTATGTCTGCGGACTTACAACGCTAGAATCCGGGTTTCGATTGTGTAGCTTTGTGCTTAATTACAAACAAACAAACAATACAAGGAATAAAATTTTATCTACACAAATTGTGCAAGTATTCACACTTACTGGCGGATTTACAGTTCTTTTATGACTTTGACTGGCTGCTGGAGTTCAGAAGAGGCTTTTCAGAAACACGTTTACACAAGATAAACACAGAATGAACGTTATATATGCACACAGAAGTAAAAGACAAAGTGAATTTGAGTTACCGCAGATATGTGAGCAAAAACGTTAATAGTACTGTATACTAGAATCAAACGCTACATACGTCACCTACTACTCCAAGTAACATTTAACTATAGTGAAGAAAAACCCCAAATCGCATCATTTTTTATGAGATTCTGCGCCACCGGTTGAGATGGGCTTGGCCCTCCGCAAAGAGGGTCAGACACAGGGTCAAAGTGAAATGAGGCTCCACCCGCTAACATATAGGTAAGCTTTGCCTGGAAAAAAGAAAGATTGGAACATGCTTACTACCTTTTAACATTGGCTAATAAAATGACAAACTATGTGCACAAAATTTAGAAAAAATCTACTTAGATATAACTAAAGATATATTTTGAACTAGTTTTTGAAGGATAAAGTGTATGACTACTTCATTTAGTAAAATACAATAATTCTTTTATAAAAACAAAACTATTTTCACTAGAGCTTAGCTGTTTTTCCAAATCTTAAAGTAGTGTTCTCTTATCTCACTATTTTCAGAATATAAAATAAAGCATTCAGAAGCCTCCATTCTATAGATTCGTTGGATAATCTCGTCGTAAAATTAAACATCTTACCTTTCTTTTTTCAAGTGAAAATAAGTTGAGAGATTTTAACTTATCCCTGTAAAATTATTTTTCAATGATTCAATCCTTGGAATAATCCGAGTAACCATCCTCTAATAGGTGTGAGAATTAAGGGCACTGAGGGATGAGGTGGCACCCCTGGCCCGAAATACGGTAATGCTGCACACCTGTTGTTGAATGTTAAGAGATAAGTGTTGATTTTTACGGTTTATGTTTTACATTGTTAATAGTTTACACAAAGCTACATGAGTGTAAACTGATGTTTAGAGACATAATCTCAATAATTTTTGCTAATTTTGCAGTGCCGATGCCCGATATTTACTAGTAGTTTACTACGAGAAAACATATGGCAGTCATTTCAGGAAAATATTTGTTTTTAGTATTACAGTTAAAAGAGCCTGTAAAGTCTGGTAGCCAAATATTTGTCCAACACACCAATTGATTTAAGTAATTTTGTAATACCTCAACATCCTCAACCAAGCTAGAAAAACCAAAGAGTTTACTTTCATCAGCAAATTTTACTAATTATTTCCCTATCAACATGATTAATGTAAATAAGAAAGAGCAGAGGCTCAAACACGATTTTATAACTCTGAATGTTTAAGTTTCATTATTGGAAAAATGATAATTAGAACTGTTTTTTTGCTGTTGATTAAAACTTCGATTACAAAGAAAGAATAACACCGTTGTGGTACAGGGTTCTACAATTTCATGTTTCTTACTTCACTTGTGTGATGAGCTAATATAGTCAAGTGTTTTAATTTAATAGTTTGCTAGAGGAAGCTGCTAATACGATGATGAAGATACTAGATTTAATTTTTTAAAGTTGTTCTACAGTACCTAGAATGTTTGTAATTGAGAAGTTATTTAAGTGTTCATGTCAGTGTTTTTTTTCTAATTCAGTTACAAGTCCGATTATCCATGAAATTGTACAAGTAAGTTTATTTGTACGTTAGTCATAATAACATTAGCGAGTAAATTTATGTTGAAAGTGAAAACGTTATTTATCTGTGAATTTAGGTCTACAGATGTGTATAAGTGATACTAGCCTGTAGCAAACGTTAAGGAAGAAATAAATTAATTTGTTATCGTTACAAGGACTACAGTTTCTATTGTGTTCACCAAATGATTTGAAAGAACCCACCCAAAGAAAGAACACGTTACCGTAATATTATATTGTATGTAGTCTTAGCAATCATGGAACTTATAAAATTATATTTATAACATTAACAGATGATTCGCTCAAAATATCGATTATGGAGTAGTAATAAATCTCTTACTAACCAAGTCGATGTAAAATGAAATAATGAGATTGGACACAAAGTGTAATGATACAACGAAAACAATCTTTATTTTTAAAAACGTTTGAATGGGATTGACGGTCACATTATAACGCATCCATGGCTGAAAGGGCGGTAATAAGATTTGAAATGTATTGTTTTGTTTGACCAATGTAAGCAAGATTATAAGAACAAAGAACGGGCTAAATACCCCTGATTGTAGTGAGCTGTTATCTTTTCTCCACTTTTTTAAGTATATTTGAAACTTTGTTGAGTGACTTATAAGCAGGTTTAGTTTTATATTGTTTTGAAATAGTGCCTATTTTGCTTGATATCAAGGGCCATCATTTATTTTGTTTGCAGTTATACAGTTTTGCGGAGCTGAGTATGAAAATCGGAGTACAGGCGTTCTTAATATACGCGCTATACATATTAAGTCATACCGTGCGGTAAATTTCCAATATCAAGGAAAATTCTCAGTCTGTTTGTTGTGACGGATTTATTATCATATATTTATTTTAATATCGATGTTTGTTTATATTACATTTATATATAGAAATGTGCATAACTTATAAAGTTAAATATGTATAGGCGAAATTCACGCCTATTCTCCAAGTTGTAGAAGACTCTCGAGAGTAAGAATCAGCAATATATGTATGTACGTAAACATTAGTGTATCGTTAGCATTGTTGCGAAAGCTGAATTTTCTAGAAATTCTCCACACGCCTATAAATATAACCAACGCGACGCGCCAAACAACAGTATATATTATTGGTTTGCTATAGCTGGTGTGCTATAAACTTCGGAAGCTATAATTGTGATTGTTATAACGCTTATTGATCGGAAAACATAAGATATTTGACCAGGAACATTTATAAGTTTCGAACATTACAAACTATTTAACTTCAGTGGATTCACATCTGACACTAGTACTTTTTACGTAAACATTACCTAACGTCACCGGTAGGAAAAATATCAGCGTGTGATCAGCGAGAACTACAGGGCTAGCTAGCTCCCTATTAAATGAATTGTACCTACATCAACTTGAAATAAATTCGCCCATTGTGATCTCTCGATAAGACATCAAGGAAGTTCCAGACTAGAAAGAATAATTTATATTGCTTGTAAGTTTGTAAAACTTTTGTATATAAATCATTGTTTGTAATAACTATTTGTAATAACTGTTATTGTAAATTGTGTTGTTGTTTGTACTTTAAAACATATTTCTATTAAAAAATAAAAAACTGTGTGTATCAATCTTGTTGGCAAATATCATAAATTGGATATATATATAGGCATATACATATAACTACTAAATTTAAATTATCATTTAGCTCCGTTTCAAACCATTCGAAATTGTAAGATATAACACTATTGATGCATATCTTCCTAAACAAATTGACCATCCGGACCAAACCTGGTATGCTAACTTAGTAGTCTAAAAGCAAACCAAATTCACATTAAACTTTCCCATATTTTATACAATAACCCATATATATCGTTACTGCAGTAGCTATCTATATATATAAAGCACAAAAAGCTGTATGTCTGTCTGTTATCTAACTACTCCTAGCTCGCTGGGCCAATTTCAACCAAATTTTGTGGGATGATAGTTTGGAACAAGGGGCATGTTAATGAGGGTTCATAATGCCACCCACCTCATTATTACTGTTATTGAGTATTTATTAAATTTGACGTAAATTAACGTTAACTACATTCATAGATGCCGCCACGTCCTTACACAAGAAAAAACATTATTAAATTTGCTATACCAAAACATACACACAATGTGGGGGAGGGGTACACAAACGTCTTATGTACCTTAGAGAGAGCGCTAGCACTCTATATGAAATAATGCAACGAAAAAACTGGCCGTCACTATTGTAATAATACATAAATTTAGCTGAAGTTTCTACTCTAACAGTCACCATGGTATGAAAAGCTGTTTCTTGAGTTATGCCCACTTCCTACTTTGACCTGTGACCTTTCAACTTTGGCCATAAGACATTTCTGTGGCCAGTGACCATCAATCATTAAATCATGTGAATCACTGTAAAATGACATAAAGAGCTGGGTGGTGTAAGGGGGGTAACAGAAAGAACCCCTACCACCACCACATTTTCAGATACCCCTTCCTACAAAGTCACCTTGACCGTAGTACAGTGTATACCATGTTTTTCTGAGTTCTTGAAGCTTATACAAAACTTTTGGTGGGGTAATAATGAATACTGTAATAATATATTATGTTATAAATAAATTGTATGACAATTAAAATTTTTGTGCTAGTTATCATAGCATCCACCTCCACATTTTTTTTTTTAAATTCATAACCTGGACAAAGGATGGTTACATCAGCTTGTTATAAATAATTGAGCTTGAA